AAAAAAAAAACTTTCATTAGTAAATTTATGGATGTTTTTATTTTATTTTTGTTCATTTCTTTTTTTTTACTTTATTGCTAAAATAATCAAAGAATGATATAATCAAAACTATGAAAGGGGCTGGGGATGTAGCTCAGTGGAAGARTGCTTGCCTCACACATGTGAGGCTCTGGGTTCAATCCTCAGCACCACATAAAAATAAATAAAATAAAGGWATTATATCCAGGCAGTTTGGCAAGRGCATAGAGCATCTATGTCAGGATGATGCTACATGAAACTGAAAAAAATAATCTAGAATTCACTTGTGGAAGACTTTGAATGGCAGGCCAAGTAATGTGGACTTCAGTATGAAGGTCAGGGGAAATCACTGAAGGTATTTACATSCAGAGTAAAATGCTTGTGCCGTATAAAAATTAAGATAGCAATAGGTGATCACACTTAGCATCACTAGTAGTGGAACAACCAATACATGCTTCCTGATACATTGTATTTAGAAATATAAAATATAATGTATCTGGTATTTTAGCCATAATAATGAAACGTTCTATTAAAAAAAAATAAGTTGGTCTGGCTTCTTTAAGAAAGTCACTGTAATTAAAAACAAACAGGAAACTGGTCTAGATTAAAAGGGACTAAACAGAATAATAGCCAAATTAAATGCATGAAGCTGATCTTGGATTTAAAAAGTAAAAACATTTTGAAACAATATAGGAAGATTTGATTTCAAAATATAGTAGATAYAATTTGGGATTGTTAAATTTCTCTGGTAAGAAAATAATATTGTGGTTTGATTGGAAATTGTCCTAATTCTTAGATGATAGATGCTAATGAAGTTATGAGATAAAGAATCTTACTTTCATATATGAATAAAAAAATAAATGTATGTGTATGAGCAAATAAGAAAGCATATATAGCAAAATGTCAACAATTAGTGAAGTGTATCATTCTTTTAATTTTTCTATAGTTAGGATGAAAGCAGAAACCATTAAAAAGGCATTGCTGTTTTTCAATATATGATAAGGCCATATTTGAGGCTATTAATGGAAATCTCAAAAGGTGGCAGTTAGAATTTAAAAGGAGAAGTATACAAAAAGGATACTGTAGAGATAATGTAAAGGATTTGAAGTCTTATTCAAGTGAAATAAAAAATTAGATTTATTCTTGAGTTATGAGTTATTTCTTGAATTATGAAGTAACAGTACTGCAATTTGGGGATTCATGACATAATGACCAGTTTCTCTGTTTTTCTAGTCTTTTGTTGCTGAGGCTATGTTGCTCATGGCAACTATCCTTCATTTGGGAAAATCCTCTCTTCCTAAGAAGCCAATTACTGATGATGATGTAGACAGAATTTCCCTGTGCCTCAAGGTCTTATCTGAATGTTCACCTTTAATGAACGACATTTTTAATAAGGAATGCAGACAGTCCCTTTCTCAGATGCTATCTGCTAAACTTGAAGAAGAGAAACTATCTCAAAAGGTAAATAAATATAAGGTTATAAAAGTACTTTCTGGGTTTTTATTGTTGATTTTTCAGTCCCCATGTGATGAGGCTGTTCCTATTAAAGGCCTGTAAAAACTCTTTCCATATAAAGTCATGTGTCTTGTTTTTTCTCAACACAGAAAGAATCTGAAAAGAGAAATGTGACAGTACAGCCTGATGACCCCATTTCCTTCATGCAACTAACTGCTAAGAATGAAATGAACTGCAAGGAAGATCAGTTTCAGCTGAGTTTGTTGGCAGCAATGGGTAACACACAGAGGAAAGAAGCAGCAGATCCCCTAGCATCTAAACTTAACAAGGTAACAAAATATCAAATATACTGTAAATTGTTTAAAATAACTACTTAAGAAAGTAGTAATCAAGAGTTGGGGTGCRTGTGCACACACCTGTAATCTCAGTGGCTTGAGAGGCTGAGGCAGGAGGATTACAAGTTTGAGGCCAGCCTCGGCAACTTAGCAAGGCTCTAAGCAACTTAATGAGACCCTGTCTCAAAATAAAAAACAAAAAGGGTTGGGGGTGTAGCTCAGGGTAAGCATCCTTGCCTTAAATCTCCAGTACCCCCCC